AGGTTATGCTGGGTCATGCCCAATGTGCTGCCCGTTCTTAGTCACCCTGCGGAGGACCTGGATGGGAGCTGCTCACAATCTGTTAAGTGACAGCAGGCCCTACAATCAAGTCTCATAAGGCCTGGTGGGGAGCCTGCCTCTGTAAGCACCCACCTGGAGTAATTCATCACAGCGAAATAAAAGTAAATATAAATAAAGTCAACTTTATAACTTATTGAATTTCACATAGTTTTTCTGACTCATACTGCTAAAGGAAACATCTTTCCTTTTTTTTTGATCTTTTGAGACAGGGTTTCTCTGTGTAGTTTTGGAGCTTATCCTGGCACTCACTCTGTAGACCAGGCAGGCCTTGAACTCACAGAGCTCCACCTGCCTCTGCCTCCCCAGTGCTGGGATTACAGCATGCACCACCAACGCCTGGCCAGGAAACGTCTTTCCTTTACTGTGTCTAGAAATCAAACTGAGCCAGGTTTAATCTCAGCACTCGGGAGGCAGAGGCAGAAGGAGCACTGTGAGTTTGAGGTCAGCCTGGTCTACATAGCGAGTTCCAGGACAGCCAGAGCTATATAACCAGTCTGGGGGGGGGCAGATATTAAACTAGGTTGGGGAAAGAGCATGGGCAATACACAGTCAGATCTTACACAGGGTCCAGCTCTGGGCCAATGGGGCAGGGATCAAATGCCGACAGAATGACTGGCACGTGGGCCACCTTTGCTTTTTAGCACAAAGCACTTACAGCTAATTATATGATTTGTTTTGTAACTTATGCATTTACTCAATTATGTTTGCCCCAGAACAACACTAAATGGATTTATACTTCCAGTGTTTGAAAGGGGGAGGCCCCTGAGCACGGTGCAATGATCAAAGGAAGCCAAGGTGAACTGTCCTGCTGCAGGACATAATAAGGAAAGGAGACACTATACACCCAATAGTTAATTCCTCTAATCCTTGGTTTACAGATTTCACACTAAGAAAATGATGCTAAAGGATGCCATGACAAGCATATCTAACTGTGGAATGGGCTGGTGGAGATGTACGGTCACATCACCATGCTGATGCTGACAAGGTGATACCCACCAGCTAGCACCTGCCACCTTCAGAGAAGGATCTGTTTTAAGACATCCACGTCTATTATCTCATTTATTTCCCAAAACACACTGACTTCCATGTGAACGCTGTGCACTCACATACTACAAACACACACACACACCATACATAATAAAAAAAAACCACTGATGCAATTGGTATTAGCATTCCACTCAATTTACAGGTAAATAAAGTGAGACACAAAGCCATTAAATAATATGCCCAATTATTAAGTGGCAGAGCTGAAGTATGGACCCAGAGAGTCCAACTCTGGCCCTCAGTGGATCACCAATTGTCTGTCTTCCCTCAAATTCATATATTGTAACTCTCATCTTCCAAGGGTTGGTATTTGAAAAGGGGGCCTTTGGGAGACAATTAGGTTACGAAGGTGAAGCGAGCTTTCATGAGACTAGTGCCCTCCTACAACAGACAAGAGGGACTCATTCCTGACTCCGCCCTCTGACTGAAGATCCATCAAGGAAGTGGTCACCTCCTTGCCAGCAAGAGACCTCTCCCAATGCTGCCACCCGCATCTCAGACTTTCTGTACTCCAGAGCTAAGAGAGATACAGTTCTGAGGATTTAGGTCACCTTACCCATGAGAGTCTGTTATAGCTGCCTGAACTAAGACAGAAAGCACATAAAATCATGTCATATCTATGTCAAAGAAACATGTATGCAAGGGATAAGTGCATTATGAAATGGCATATACAATCAGCTCACTGTAGAAAAATTTAGAAGGCTGACGAGATATGTATGAAAATGAAGTTAATTAATGGCAATTTTTCTTAGTCATCAAACTTTTCTTTAATTAAATCATTTTTGTGATTGAAACTACATTAATTAGAAAATATGATCCTGGCATACTACACTATAATTAACAAGAGTAACATGAATCATATCCAACAAGTACACACACAACCACGGGACCACAAGAAGTTTCTGCTGACCATTTCACTGCTGTATGAGTTCTTATCTCACACCTGACAAAAGTGACTTAGGGAAGGGTTTATTGTGGTTCAGTTTAAGGGTACAATGCATCATGGCACAAACCCATGGTAGCAGGGCTTGAGATGTGTCTGTCCCTGGTTGGGAAACAGAAAACAGTGACTGTTAGTGTTCAAATGGCTTCCTCCTTTTCATTCAGTCCAGTGCTCCAGTCCGTAGAATAGTGCTGGTTTCAATTCAGGTGAATCCTCCCATCTCAACCTAACCTAAATAATCCCTCACAGGCATACCCAAGCTTGCCTCATGATTCCCAAGCCCTATCAAGTCGACAGTCCATAAACCAGTGCAACTGTCAAAAAGAACCCTAGAATCTTGGTTCTGGTCCAAATCTTCTGCGTGTTCTGTCTGCATGTCCCCTCAGCCTGACCTGTGGTCACAAGCAGGTGGAGTTACAGAACAGCACAGAGCTCCACAGTGAGCTTCTTCCAAAAGATGTGACAATGTCATTCATTAAGAATGGACAGGAGTCTGAAGGTGCAGCTGCCCTCTGTCTATAATACAAAGTCCAGGCCCTCGGTAGCCCACAGCCACAATAGATACATACACCTCTTCCCTCTGAGGCCACAAGGCCGTGAAGGAAAATCTAAAGCCATCCAAACAGTGTCCTGCTTAGCATCACCTATGTAACTCCACCCTAAACAGTATGGTGACAGATGCAAAGAGCAGGATACAGATGCCATGCTCAGTGGCTTCTGTGGTTTTGGATGCTTGCCATGTATCACTAATGAACTGAAGAGAAATGGAGCTAACATAGGCTGAGCAGGACACCTTGAGGTACTTCAGCTGCTTAGCATCTAGAAGCCCCATGCATTAGGGCCCTACATACTGTAACAACCTAAAATATCACTTCAGCGTTTTTACTGAGGTCCCGGTCAAGAGCCACCAGTCAGTCCATCACTACAGCCCAGAGTCATTTGTGTGGGGTCATCTGGGTATCAACTGAGTCCACGTCTCAAACAGTTTAGCACTCTTCCCCCGTACCAAACTCCCCAAACTATGCTCATGAGAGCCAAACGTACTTGAAAATTAAAAATAGGCTCCACACTTAATAATAGGCTTTAACATCATGGGTATTATGGTATGTAAGCACAGAATGATATTTCTGTAATTATTCTAAAAGAGCAAAATAGTATCAGAATATTCAAAGCTTAAAGATGCATTGTGCGCTGAATTCCTACTGTGAGCTGTGTTTGTACCCACAGAACAGGAGGAAGAAGGGAAGGGAGGCATTTTCATAACCAAGTGTTTTCTTTAAAGAGCACCACTTCTATAATGAGCCCAACAATGACTCAGGGTAAGACAGATTCTATAGAAAGCTTTGACTTCCAAGTTTTCCCTTTTATCTCTGAGACAGATCTTGCTATGTGTATAGCCCAAATGAGCCCCAGTCTCCCTGCAGTAGTTTCCTGCCTGCTGGGTTACAGACCACCAGCCACATCTAATGTTCAAGATTGTCTTTTAAGCCAAAATCCTACTGGGCTGGGGGTACAGCTTAGCTGTGAGAGTGTTTGCCTGTTATGCACCAGGCACGAGGTTTGGTCCTCAGCACAACAGAATTAGTAAATAATAAAATCCTTTCATAGTACTCAGCATCTGAATGTAAAATCTACATTTGTGTTTTAAATAATATCCCTCTAGTTCTTAAAGGACGTGACACAATCACTCCCAAATATCTGACAGGCATATTTAATATCCACACATTTTATAGTTCTTGTGTTGATACACTACATCAACTCTTCCACGGAAGGTGTAGAGGGAAACTTTCTTTTTTAAAATTGCAGCATAAAACTCCACGGGGCTGGGGAGACAGCCCAGTAGAGTGCCTGGCACACAGGCATGAGGAAATGAGCTCCGATTCTCAGCGTGTGTAAGAAGTGGACTCAGCAGCATGTACCCATAACCTAGTGCTGAGATGGGGGTCCCGGGGCTTGCTAGGCAGTTAGTCTGGCTGAACTGGGGATCAGTATGTTAAGTAAGAGACTCTGCCTCAAAAAATAAGGTGCTGAGGGGCTGGAAAGATGGTTCAGCAGTTAAGAACACTTACTACTTTCCCAGAGGACCTGGGTTCAATTCTCAGTACCTACATGGCAGTTCCTAACTGTCTGTAACTCAAGTTTCACGGGTTCCAATGCCCTCTTATGACCTCCAAGGGCACCAGGCACACACATGGCATACCCATACACGTAAACTTAAATTAATTAAAAATAGGGTAGAGAATAACAAAGGAAAACACCTGCCCTCAACCTCTAACCTCTGCGTGTGTGCATATACATACAGACCCATGCAGAAACACACACGCACATACAGATAAACATATGCACATCTACTGTTTGGCTGTACCTACTTACACTTGGTATATAGGATATGATTTTTCCCTTCACTTCCCTGACTTTACGACACAAGGACAACTCTTTTAGGAGTTTTCCGGTGCACACAGCTCACCACCAGCGCGCACTCTAGAGCACTAGAAGCTGGGCGAGGGCAGGGAGGTCGAGAGGGTGACAGTCAGCAAGCTGGGTGTGGTGGTGCAGATCTGCAATCCCAGCCCGCAGAAGCTGAGGCAGGAGGACTTCTAGTTTGAGGTAGCCTGGGCTGTAATGGGGGGCCCTGTAAGGAGGGGAGAGGTAGAAAGCAGACAGCGCTGGGGTCAGTATCCCCAGGAAGAGGGAGGCAGTCGGGGTCAGCGGAGTGCCTGCCCAGCACGGCCCATACCAGCCCTCCCCCCTGCCCCCAAAACACAAAGAAAAACCAGTAACGAAAGAAGCAACACCCCCAAAACAATGATTCTTCAGAAACTTCAGGCTCATGTCAAAAAAGTTCCTTTAACCTGGCCCCCACCCTTGCTCATTCGATAAACATACTTGCAAATGTCTTTCTCTCATTGTATCAAATCAAACTAATAATTACCTAGTACTCTGCATTTCCACTTCAAACCCAGTCAAGGGTCTCTGTCCACATCCAAGAGAGGGCATTCCCTAGACACAGCTCCCACACTCAAGCTGGTAGAACCTTCCATGCAGCCTCAGAGCTCAGCGGAGTTTCACAATGGACGGTTCTTACCGACTTCGCTAGCCCCTGTGGGGACAAGGGACAAAGGCGCCACAACAGCCCTGGCGTCAGCTTAGTGTGCACCGGCAGCAGCTTGTCTGTCGGCAAGGATGGCAGAGGGGCGAGGGCTCTGACATTTACATGTCAATACGCCAGCCAGCAGACACTCCTCGGTTTTGTTCCCCCTTATCCAAGGAGTCTGGAGTCTGCGGCTGCCAACAAGCATTTGGCAAACTCTCAGAGATTTGCCGTCCCCCTTACAGTGCTGAGTCTGAGCCAATACATCAGCAACCAGCAGACTTTGCAAACCGTCCTGGAAGCCACACTGGAGAGACGCTTGCTTTAGATCACAATTGTGGACACACTCAATTCCAAAAGAGCCATGGGGGAGGGGCAAAGGCAAAAGGATTTCTGAGGCCTGGACCCTGGGTCTCACACTTAGTCAAGAGCGATGGCTCAGGAGTCTAGGTCAGCATGAGCCAGAAGCTAAGGCGTCATCAACATGTTGTAGGACTCACTGTCTCAAGTGTGTCATCATGAATAAGGAGATGGGGACAGAAGAATAGATGGACTGTGCACTGTTCTCATACCAGAGCAGCAGCAAGAAGGGAGAAAGTCCAAAGAGTCCTGTCCTGTAAGGGAGAAATGACTGGGGCTGATAGGGAGGGGAGCACATCCTCAACCCATGGCATGCACAAAAGCAGATTTATTCAGGGGCTGCAGACGGGAAGACAAGTGCATGGAGACAGCATCTGCACAAGCAGCAGAGACAGCCAGAGTGGGCCAGGGGCTTTCCTGCAGCTGGTGTCAGGCTGCATATGGGGGCTGCTGCAGAGGCCAGCTGGATGCCAAGAAGTGATTTGAGAGCTCCACCTTTGCAACAAACTCTCTGGATCTTTACAGCCCAAACCAAATGACTGTTGAATAAAAATATTGACTTACAGTCTGTGATGCAGACTGATTTATTCTAAGATAAGGCTGCACTTCCAACGCCGGAAACAGCAAAGCATCGGTCACTTCTGAAATTATAGACCCAGGCCCCATTTATTGTAGTTAAAAAGTAGCAAGGTTGGGGCACTGGATGGATGTCCCTTAAATTACTTCTCCTCTCTTTCCCCATTGCTCAGACAGCTGCTGATTGTAATTTGGGCCACTTACAGCATTTACCTGAAGTGTTTGGTGGTCAACCGAGTTCCGTGAATGTTTCACAGATAACTCATTGCTGGTCTAGACCTGGGAAGGGGAGGAAGGGGGTTCCCAGCAAGTGCCTTCTGAATGTGCAGGGACCTGGATGGCCACTGTTTCCACCCTGGGAGAGACCATGGTAAAAGCCTCTGGTCCCAAGGAAGTACTGTCTCGGCCTATGCTGTGAAAGACTCAGACTATCCAGCCCGTAGTGCCCCTGGAACTGTTCTGGGTACAAAGCTAGCTTAGATTGATTTCATTAAGCTTTGCCAGAGAGCTGAGGGCTCAGAAAACCACTGCCCTCCTCTCTGGATTCTTTAAAACAGCTGTCAACAGGAGACCATATAAACCCCGGAGGAAGACTGATAAGTTGCCCTCCAAATAGAGCATACCTCCTCACCTGCTCTCTGTGGGAGAGCCCCCACTTCCTGTGCAGATACCAGCAGGGCTGGGCACTGATCAGGCTTCGGTTGTTTTTCTTTTTCAAGACAGGGTTTCACTATGTAGCCCTGGCTGTCCTGGAACTCACAGAGATACACCCACCTCTGCCTCTCTAGTGCTGTGATTAAAGCCAACAGACCCAATTAATCAGGCTTTTCTGACATTGAGTTTTGTATGTGAGGACTTTATCAGTAGGGAGAAAAATCTTGTTTTTCTTTACTCTGTCTCTCATTTATTGCCGCTAAGGCTGAACATTGTTGTGATTTTCCCCCATAGTCATAGATTATATATGTAAGGTGGGATCAAGGGGGCCCTTATCTGTCACTGTGTGCTTCTGCAATGTTTACAGTGTAACAACTTAATTTTTCTGCTCTGACAAGGAAAATCTGAAGATGAACATGGAGGTGTACACCTCGTATATGCAAAAAAAACTAGTGGCAAGGTCACGAGTAAGAGACCAATCAAGACCAAGAAAGGCAAAGTTTTTAAAAAAATCATTGGTCACTGGGGCATCTTTCTTAAAATGACACCCAATTGACCCCATCTGTGACCCTCAGGCAAGGGCAGAATGACCAAAGCCCCAGCCCCGCCCCACCCAGTGTCTGTGTCCAGTGTCTGTGACACCTTTCTTGGGTTGTACTGGTTGGAGGACATGGCTGGGCTGCCCAAAGGCCTCTGTGAGAACAAACCCAGGAGCTGCAGAAGGAGTCTCTAAGGCCACAGTAGCAGTCCAGGCCCCCAAAGGTGTCTCTACGCTTTCTGTAGAGATTTAAGACACCATTTGTCTGGTTTTGTCTTAGTTTAAAATAAGAGACAGAGCTGGAAGCCGGCTTGGTAGTTCAGAGCTCTTGTTGCCCCTCCAGAGGGTTAAGTTATGTTCCCAGAGCCCACATCAGACAACTCACAACTGCTTGTCACTCCAGCTCCAAGGAATCCACATCCTTCTTTGTCTCCTGAGCACCTGCATTCACGTGTACATGCATACAGAGACACACAGATATGCACATAATTTTTAAATTAAATAGGGTCTGGACAAACAATATAAATGAAAATTATATTAACGAGCATTAACTATTGGGTAATGTGGTGGTTTGAAAGAAAATGGCCCCTAAAGGGAGTGGCCCTATTAGGAGGTGTGGCTTTGTTGGTATGGTGAGTTTGTAGGGTATGGTCTTATTGGAGGAAGTGTGTTACTGTGGGGGTGGGCTTTGAGGTTTCCGATGCTCAGGATCCGCCCAGTGTCTCAGTCAACTTCCTGTTGCCTGCAAAATGTAGGACTCTCAGCTATCACTCCAGCACCATGTCTGCCTGCATGCTGCCATGTTCCCCATCATGCCGATAAAGGACTGAACCTCTGAAACTGTAAGTGAGACACCTCAATTAAATGTTTTCATTTATAAGAATTACCATGGCCATGGTGTCTCTTCACAACTATTGAAATCCTAAGACAGGTAACAATCCAAGGTGCTCTACCAGAGAGGTAATATGCAGAACTCAGTTAAAACCAGGTCCTTAGTGCTTGTAACTCATTGTGTCAATAAAATGTACTCATGCACACTTTGAAGATGAAGCCAACAATGTAATCCTAGCTAAAACTAACATTCTTTCACTGAGTCAGAACCCCTCTCAGTTCAGACCTGCCTCCTTCATGTTTGCTGTAGCTAGACAGTAAAGTTTTAATCTGAAAAGGGGGGAACTGAACTTTAAAAATTCATTCCAAGTAAAAGGACCCCATTTTCTTTAAGGGCTGGCTACTGGGAGTTTGGCCATGCTCCAGTGAGTATACGGGTCACGCAAATTAGACTTGGTGGGGTTTGTTTAGTTTTGTTTCGTTTCCCAGTAGAGAGGGTCCAAAGATGAATTTGGGAGGAATGGGAAGCAAATCAGCTTGTTAATGACTTTTACTTGAGGAACTGGGCCTCAATTATAGGGTGCTGAGCTGTGGGTTTGATCTGCAATCCTAGAAAAAGTGGACATGGTAACGCCAGTCAGCAATCTCCTTCCTCAGGATGTGAGGCAGTGGACCAGAAATTCAAGGTCATCCTTGGCTGCACAGCTGGCTGAAGTCAGTTTAAGATACATGAGACATGACCCCAGGAAAAAATAATCACTTGATTATTAGAGAAGATGAGTATCAACATTTTGGAAAATAATTCAACCTTTATCTTACTGATGATTCTATCTTCAGAACTCCAGCACTAAAGAAATAATTGTAATTATAGGGGAAAAGTTATGCCAAAAGACACTCACTACGGCTCTATTAATAGCAGCACAGCAGTGAAAACAGCATGGCGGCAGCTTCTGTGACCTAGTGGCTCAGGAAGCCACCCACGGTCTCAGTTACTCGGGCAGTTACCACCGAAAGTGTTACTGTCCAAGTTGGGTGGTGTTTTGTTGTGTTTGTCAACTCAACACAAGCTTGTTTTCTGGGAATAGGAAGCTCTGTTGAGGAAATACTCCCCTCAGATTGACGGTAGGCAAGTCTGCAGAGCATTTTCTTGATAATGATTGGTGTGGGAGGGCCTGGCTCACTGTGGGGTATGCCACCCTGGGCAGGTGGTCCTTGGATGTCTTCGTTAGGGTTATTATTGCTGGGATGAGCACTGTGGCCAAAGCAACTTGGAAGGAAAGGGTTCATTTGTGTGACCTATCCTTAAGAAGCACTTTCTCCAGCTGAGGCTCCCTCCTCTCAGATGACTTTAGCTTGTGTCAAGCTGACAGAAAACTAGCGAGCACCTGATAAGAAATCAGGCTGAGCAAGCCACAAGGAGCAAGCCAGTAAGCAGTGCTCCTCCACGGCCTCCGCTTCAGTAAGCAGTGCTCCTCCACGGCCTCCGCTTCAGTAAGCAGTGCTCCTCCACGGCCTCCGCTTCAGTAAGCAGTGCTCCTCCACGGCCTCCGCTTCAGTAAGCAGTGCTCCTCCACGGCCTCCGCTTCAGTAAGCAGTGCTCCTCCACGGCCACTGCTTCAGTTCCTACCTTGTGCTCAAGCTTTGGCTTCCCTCAGTGAACTGTGGCCTGGGCTATATAGGTCAAATAAACCCTTTCCTCCCTATGTGGTTTTTGGTCAGTGTTTTATCACAGCAATAGAAAATACTCTAAGACAGTTACATAGAAAATTGCAGAAATAATTTTGGCTGGAGAGATGGCTCAGTGGGTTCAGTTCCTAGCACCCATGCCTAGCTACTGTCTAGCTCACAGCTACTTGTAATTCCAGATCCAGGAGCTGACACCCTCTTCTGCATCCTCAGGCACCTATACATGTGTATACATACATGGGGGGGTTATCACAAATAAGTAACTCATAGGTAGCATGATACAGTCTCCTATGTCCTAATCCTTCCTGTGAGGGACAATGTTTGTCTTTCTGCCCTGCATATTCCTGCTGTATTCACTACATGCCTGTAAGTCACTTCATTGCCATGGAATTTACTGAATTGGCTTTTGCAGTTTTGCAATGAATATGTTCCAGTAGCCTTTACTGTGTGCATTTACATGCAGATGGATATGTTATCAGGTGTGGGGTG